CTTCATACTTCACTATATAAATAACTTCAAATGTACCTGCACTATAGCTGAATCATAAAATTGTGAATTATTATGTTTTTCTGCCAAAAAGAGAATCCATAAAAAGAGATTTATGGTCATAGCTCCCTTTTGTGCTGTACTATTTGCCTTTATCATAAAAGTTCTTTCAGTTCACAGCAAAGTAAATATACCCACTTTGTTAATAGTGTGCCGCCTTTTCTCTGTTAAATGCAAGGCTTATTATATAATTTGAGTTAACTACTGTTTTTGTTGATATTAGCTAGTTGATTGTTGCCCCTGCCTGCAGAAATTCCATGCCTGATTTATGCAGAGGGCTTGTTAGGCAGGAACTAAAGTGGGCCAGGGCTAGCTCACAAGTCTATAGGAATCCATTCAAGCAGCTTTAAGTTTTATTCTCCCTGCAGCAGATTTAAAGCGGCTTTGTATAACAGTCGAACAAGAATAAGCAGCTGTGGAAAAGATCACAAATCATAGGAGCAGTTTAACAGAGAGACAGAGGGAATCATTCCAGTAAGCTGAAGACTAACCACGTACAAATACCTATAAGGGCACAGCGTGCGGGCTTGTGAATCGCAGCAAAAATGTTGTATGTGCAGAGAGTGTGGCTTGGAAAACTCACAAGCCTGACTAGCAGGCCAGTTGGCTTAGAACTGCAGTGAATGGCCCGAAGGCTGCATGTGGGAGGGTTTTGTTTTAAATTTCTGAGATCACTTATTTAGTAGCACAACAGGCTGGTTCATCCCACATTTTAAAGGGCGGGGGTGGGTAGCCACAAGCCAGGCAGTAATTACAAAGCAAACAAGGGTGAAATATTGGATTGGGCTCTCTCGTGACAAGATCTACGCTTTTTGCCGCCAATTTGTTTGTGGAGCTCTATTTAAAGGCGCTTGATTGAGGAAATGTTGAAAATAGCAGTTAGGGTTTCCCTAATGAGACCTCTGGAGGAAAGCGGTGGCATTCAGGGGGCTCGAGGAAGGTGAAGGAGGCGGAGGGGCAGCAGTTAACCCTTTCCGGGCCGACGAGAGCTGATCGCCCGCTTGCAAGACCCACTGAAAGGGGGAAAGGAGGGAGGGTTCACTCTGGGACAGGGATATTTGTGGGGAAGGGGGGGGGGAGGTCTGTCTCTTCTAGCGATGGCCAGAGCAATCCATAGGCTGATTGCTGCCGCGGGGGGAGGACGCAAGGCTATGGGGGGGGGGCGTATAACGCAGCTTTCAAGGAGCAACCCTCAGAGCTGGGGCGCGCAGCACGGGGCTGGCTTCTCCCTGCCCTACGCCTTTTCCAAGGGGAACCCGCGTCACCCGCTCTGCGCTGCACCTGGCTGCGGGGAGAGCAAAGCGGGAGTTCCCTGGGAACCAGCAGGCGAAATCCCGCTCCCCGGGCTGGAGCGTTTGCCAGCTGGACTGGCTGGTGGGAGACAAAGGCCGGGGGCAATGGAGGGGCTGGTGGGGAAGCTGCGCAGTGTCCCACCGCCACCCCGAGAGAGTGCGTCAAGCAACGACCTCGCCCATAACAGAACACAAGGGGTTAAAAGAATCTGTAAATCCCCCCCACCCACACACACACACACACACCCGCGCGCCCGAGGTCCCCAGCCTACATAGCACTACCTGAGCTAGCGGGGCCTGCCTTGGACCATCGCATGAGAGCAGGGGGTGTCCTCTGACAAGCCACGCTAGGGGTACTGTAGGAGTGACATATCTGCACGCTGGCAGTCACCCCTCTCGCAGATGGCATTTTGGTGCACTCCCTTGCCCGCGTAAATCGAGTGCCTTGAACGGCTTCTGTTCCAACCCTAATTCCTTTAATTTCTCGGTCAAAACTCAGCCTAAATATTAATTCAGGAGCGAAACACTAACCCAATGGCATGCTACTCCAGCAGTGCTTGTTCCCAGCCTCCAGTGTCTAAAACTGCTGCCTTCCTTTTCCTTCCCAGCTGAGTGCCCACTAAGTTATCAATTGGCCAGTTAGTTATTGGATGTGCATGCTTGGCAGATCACGCCATGTTCATAGTGCAGTGGGTGGCATTAAATCCGTATGATATTTTGTGATGAGAAGCATTGGCCCTTGAAATGCAATATTTGACAATATAATTGAGAAGGAGGACGTGGATCACCAACCAGACACTTTCCACACTTGTCTTCGGAGTTTTATCAGGGAGACAAAAACGCAAGCTTATATTGTACAGGATTTCTCAAGACATTGCCATTTAATTTACTCTACCGGTTTATAGCACTATTAAGCACAACTATTTGAGGTGAACTTTTCACATGTGGATGAAAACGTGTTCTAGAAATGCCTGAAAACATTGTGAATGTAATGAACACATAACAAGGTTTGCCATAACTGGGGGGGCCTTGTGAGTTTCCTTGCAGTGTATTAGTCCATCCATTTTTTTTTCAGTATGTCATGCTAAAAGTTGCAAAAGTTCAATTAGCGCCTGTCTAAATCCTATGGCTGTTAAATACAAATGAAATATTTGGGAAAAACTGCTGATAATATTTTGACGTTTGCTAATATTTGAATGGCAATCTGGAATTTAGTCCTGTTTTAGAATTCCTATATAAGTGCAAACACTTGAATTATGTTGCTTTAACTGTTTTTTTAAATAATATGTTCCTCAAGTTTAATTTAGTAATATTAAAATCATTTCTAAATATATTGCAGAGAGTTTATAAGGCACATAAAAGGTTACATAAGACACATATATCTTTCTGTTGTTATATTTGTGTGTGTGTGTGTGTGTGTGTGTATAGTGTTAAATAGCATTGTTTCTTATGTACATATACAACATTCAGAGTTTTTGTTACGGAAAATATTCATCTGGCCTTGGATCAAAAGAATATTGTTAAAATATCTAGTATAGTGGTTCTTTAGTTCCTTTTAGTAAAAAAAGAAAAACAATGTTAAGATCTTTAGTTATGTAAAATATGTTGATTGTCACTTTAACACTTAATGCTATGACCATGCGGTTGTTTCATTTTTCCTGTAGATTTTTGCAAGTAAAATAAATTCTGATCTTTATTTCTCAATGTCCCTCTTTATAAAAAAAATTTAAAAAATAAACCACTGTTGCTGCTCAGAATGAGTCAAAGAAACATTTTTCGAATCACATATCGGTTGTATAATCTGTTACAATAAGTTACACTACTACTGCGCGTTTCCAGTAACCCTCCTGCCTTCTGTGTTTATGACATTTCTGTTTGTAATTATTTTATTTTAATTTTATGTCATTTCTAACATAAGCCAGAACCTTTTCTCTTCATGTTTTGTACACAATGCTCTCTTTTTGATAAGATGTTCTTTCCTATCCTCTTTTAGATTTTCTTCCCAAATGTTTATAGTTCTGTATCAGGAGTTTTCCAATATTTCTCCCTTGTCCCTGTCTTATTTTATTTGTTTGTGTGAAATTTAGTTTGAAAGGAGATCAGAGAGAGCAGGAGGGGTTTGTAATAAGAGAATGACCAAGTGACCTACAGGCTGATTATGTGTCATTAACTGGAGTCTTGGTGTATCCAAATTACCAAAAAGACGTCACTCAACTAGGTCAATTACATTTATATACATATATAGGAATTGTGGTGGGTGCAGCTAAACACACGGATGCGTTTGAACAAGTGTGTTACACGACATTTGCAGTAAGCAGCTGCTTTCATCCACTACTCTGTGTTTGAATAATTAGCGGTCAAGTCATAGCTCAGTATGTTACAGCAGGTAGATGAACCGACAGGCACGGAAAGTAAGACATTAACACTTTGGCTTGTGCAGTTTGGGCAAAATTACAGTTAATTGTCGACGCTCCAGTGGGATATTTTTAGGTCACGTAATGTTGCTTTTTATCTCTGAACACTGCTTAAACCCAAACTTTCTAAATTGAGGCTTTCCATTAATATTGACAATAAAAGTACTGCTTTTTCTTGGTCTAGAACCAAAGCAATATCAGGTTAATCTTTGTTCCTGCGAGCACGTAAACCTAATATTCTCAGGACAAATATTTATTGATCAAAACAATTCCCGTCACCCAAGCAATTCCATCAGCAGTGATCTTAAAAGCAGCCTCAAAACACAGGTCCCCAAGGAATGCAAACAATATTAAAGGACGAGCAACTACGTGAACACCACAAACGCAAGAAGAAATACTGTCTGTTCGATTTAGTATTTTTATGAATTCTTTATTCTTCTTTTGGCGCTCCCTGGGTTTTTTAAATTCTTTTATGTGGCATCAACTCAACTTCGTATCATTGGTCCCAAATAGAAGCAATCTTTGAATAATTGTTCACACATGCAAGGGTAAAACTGGTACGCTCATGTGTTTATTGCACATCATTTAAACTTACAAAGTGGATGCTATCTTGTTGTTGGGGTTTATCTACGTGTGTGTATAAAATACACACTTAATGGCAGAGATTATCGGGCCTTAAATATTTGCACCTTCAGTACCGATAATAGTAACGAACACCAGGGTTCCTTTACGGTCCTCCACAGCAATTAAAGCAGACTTGTAAGGCCAAATTCTGCCCTTTGCTATGCTCGTTGAAATCAATGATGTGACTACATGAGTGTAACTAACGAAGCAGGAGTAATTTTCATTAACACGAATTGACAGATTTTACTTCAAATGATATTTCTCCAGCGTCCCTTCAAAACTCCATATGATTGCAGGGTTTCTATGTTGCGTTGAGTTTATGGCCTTCCAACTGGATGTTTTGTTGTATGTAGATTGCCATTCACAGGGCACTTGGTACTTAGACACTTCAAAATACATTTGAGAATTATCTCTCTTTCTAATACATTTGGTCTCAGGTCAGTGACATTATGCACTCTATAAATTTGAACACGTCTAAACTTTTAAAGCGATTCACGGGGAGACAGAGCTGTGAGGTAGTGAGGCACAAGCAAACATAAGGGGAACTCTGGCTCTTCCAACGAACTGAAGGGTTCAAACCCATAGTTGGCTTGTAAAAGCCTGCAGTGTTAACCATCCACAAAAAAAGACCCATCTTTCTGCTCATCTGCTCTCAGCCGGATACTGTAGCTAGAAGTACCTATTTTTAAATATTTCCAGCCACACGCCAAATTTTAAATCCGCATTCACAAAGCCAAGATTCTGTGTTCCTTAATATTTTCGAGGGTGAAAGAGCTTAAACACCATAAAATTGCACATTTTGTTTAGAATGCTTAGAACCTAATTAGGAACAAAGAATATTACTATCTGCTAAACTCAGAGTAGACCAATTCATAAACTTATTAATGTAGCTATTTGGGCCCGATTCTGAAAAATCCTTATTTACTTGAGCTGTTGTTACTCAAGACAATTGTCCCATTCAGAAAGTGTAACTACTTCCTTGAGTAAGAATTACACGTGCTAGTAAGGCTTTTCAGAATAGAGCTATCAAGGCAATGTACCCCACTGGTTATTATTTTAAGTTATTAAACTAATCTTGACAATTGGCCAATATTGGGTGAATTTGGCTCCTTCGGGAAGATATTTGTGCGGGAAATTCTATACTTTATCAGGTATTATACTATATTTCGGTTTTCAAAGTTATAGATTCCACTGATTCTTTACTTTGTATTTTAATCCAGTTTTTTTCCTCTTCTTCCCTTTGGGAGCGTTTGTGTGTTTGTGGTTTGTTCAGTTCAGTTTTCTATTTCTGAAATAATTTAAAATACTGTTTAGTAAAGGACTTAGAACATCTTTCTCCTAAACCACACAACACGCAATTCTATTCCTTTGACATGTTCAATTCCATTAAACCTTAAGGCCTGTTTACTTTTATTTCTCTTATGTAAACAGAAGAAAAGAAGTTCATGAAAAGATACTTATTTTTCACACAACCGTGAACTATCTTCTCTTTTTAGAATATTTAGTTTAATTCTGACTTCTTTCAAAAATATCTCACACAACAAAACTGAAACATGTTTTTCCAGCCTCTATCATGCACTTTTAATCTTTTCGGCGGAGGGGGGAAGGAAGACAAGTAAAATAGATTGTGTGAGCTGCTCCCGGTCTGTTGCCCAGAGGGAAGGGGCAGCGTACAGTGTGAGTGCAAATATGACGAAGTACAATGACAACCACTGGGACTGATGCTTTGCTTCTTTGGCCTGGAGACTCTGGTGCACAGTGTCTTGTAAAACAGATAGCTATACACTTCTGGGCATTTCTTATTGCACTTCAGGAAAGCGAAGAAGACGCTGTTGAACTGCGCCCTCCGTAGGATTCCTCCTGCTGGCACAGATCATCCGCTGAACTGTACAATGACAAAATGCCATGTACTCGGTTCCAGTACATTACTAATCGTCCTTTACTCCCCTTCTTGGGCGTCCAGTTCGAAAAGACTTTGAAACTGGTGGACGAAGCAGCCTAATGTACTGCATTATTCCTGAAACGCAAGAGACAAAAGGCATTTGAAAAGTCAAAGCTCAACTTTGTATGCACCACGACATCTTGCTTAAGTGAGCTAGTAAATATCTGTTTATATTTAGATCGAGATAACATAACTCGCGATCATTTTAACAGTTAAATCAGTGACACGCCAGGAAAGTCGAATTTTTTAAATAAACGATTATTTTTTTTTAATAATGACAATGCCGTCATTAACGTATGTTTCTGACAGGAAACTTAGTGAGCTAAGAAATTCGGTTTTATTTTAATTAATTTTATTTTCAGCGATTTCATATACGCTGATCAGAAATAAAAAGAGTATTGCAAAACAAGCTGTTCTGGGGGGTATAACTTAGTTATGTTTGAAAGCACACATACTGCATTTGCTCTCAAACATGATCTATAACTTGTATCTAAAGAAGTACTGGACATTTGTATTTAAAATCTTGTCCCGCACTTAAGTTTTGTGAGCCTTTTTGTAGAGAAATAATTAAGCAACAATGTTAGCTTTGTAGACTGGTGTTCCGATCAATATCTGAGCATCTTTTAGTACTTTTTCTTCTGTCTTGTGTTTTCCGTTTCTTTCATCACTTGAGATGTTTATCGGGACAATAGTTGTGGTTCACCAGAAACGTTCACAATTACAACGCAGTCGGAATTATACTGAAAAGCTCCTAAGGCATTGCAATTAAGCACAATTTAGCCGGGGCGGGAGAATTTAGAAACAAATATTTGTCCCTCCTCATAAACCAAAATAGTTAATCAAGACAAAAGTAGCAAAACGTTAGAGAAAATCACTAGACTGGATCACTGCAACAAGCAAACAGTATTTTGAGTCTTTGACATTGGCATATTATACACGCGGTCATTTTTCATGTGTAAAATCCCAGTACTGTACTGTACACACATTCTTTCCTTGAAATATTGAAAATTTGAGTCAACCATTTTCAGTATCCTGCTTTTAAGTATAGAAACATTTTAAACCTTTGAATAGTGTTCATATGCATACAGAGTTCTACACACAAATACATATAAATGAATATGCTTATATTTATATCAACTATTCATTTAATGTGTATCATTCGGTGTGCATATTTAGTTAATCTCTATTCCTTTATTGGACGAGATATGTATGTCTTGGGATTCATTGTTCAGTGAGTTTTCACACCACAACAATCCTCTATTTACTACCATTGGCTTTTTCTCCTGCCTGTGTCAATGCAAATTTAACTCGAAAGACAGTTCTTGATTTCATTAGAAATCAAAGTTCTTGATTTCTTGATTGTAGAGCAGAAACAAGCTTAACAAACTGAGCATCGTGCCAACAAATGTCAGTATCACACTCGTCTTTTTTATGTTTTCTATCAATTCTTTGAGTGCAAAAATAGAGTATTACTGCCATAGTAAAAATTAGAAAGCTGACTCGACCATGCTGTTGTATGTAACAGCTCTTATTTAACTCCGCTTTTTCTCCCCGGAATAACAATATACAGGAAGAAGGGGTTGCTTGTTGTTTTCGTCCCAAGTGTTTGTTGCTTACCCAAATATATCTTCCGATACTGAGCATTTTCAGCAATTCGACTTGAGTTTCTTCTAGGCTCCTTGCAAACTCCAGCATCTCTATCTCTCTTTCTTAATTTACGACCTACTGGCTCCTGTTGACACAGTTTTCCACACTGACTATATTGTAGTATTGCATTGTAATATACACTGAAGCAGTCTATCCAGTAGCCAAGACACCTAGGGTGAGTATTTGATATTTCGCAGCCATTTAGTAATATTGTGCTCCATTTGAAGATGACAGCAACTTCTTGGCGCAAGTCTCACCTCCAAGTTAGCAGTTTCCCTGCGAATTACAACCTGAGATCCATTTTCCTCTTATAATGTGTGCAGGATTACAAAACCAAAATAGCTAAATATCTACTAGATTTCCTCCGGGCCTGACTGTTAAACAAACCTTTAACTATTCCCTTTCGATAACTAAACCTGCTTTCCACGGATGCCTGGTTTTTTTTATTGGTGAGGGAGGAATGCAGAGCGATATTTATATGTTTGTTAATAAAAACTAGAAAATAAGCTCTGAACATGCTGTAAAAATATTCAGTTACTTACCAATCAGGCTAGTTAAACAAGCATGCAACTGATTTCAGGCATATAACTGGTTCGGATGAATAGATGTCGTGGTATGTACATTAACTCAGCGAGCTGGAAGAGAATCATTTGGTTTGCTTTTATTGTTCTAAAGCAACTCATTCTTTGAAAACCATTTCCGTGGCCAAACCTTGAGCTATTGTCTGCTTATTTTAGAAGTCAATTGCTATCAAATCAGATCCAATTGTTCTGAACTTGCAGCTCATGTCCACTGGCTATCCATAATAATTGCATTTCTCTTCGCGTGAAAATTTAGTGCTAGGGAGTTCTTTGTGTGCATTAACCAGCAAGAAGCCGGAGTGGTTCTGGTGTAAGAATTCAGCATTGGTTAATCGGTAAGAGCCTCCCGAAGCTGTTTTTTATGTTTTCCTCTGCTAGTTCCACACAAAGCACTTTGTACAGCGATACACTTTGTGAGCTGATCGAGCCGCTATTTTTTTCCATCAAAATTCTTGGCGACATACTGTACCTGGGCTGAGATTATCCAATAGTTAATGAGTTTATTTAAAAAGAAAATGTTGCAGTACAGCATCTGCTAAACACTTGCATTAACCTCTGCCTCCATGATAGAAGGTTTTTTTTTTCCGTTCTTTTAATTATATTAAGGATACGAAGGGGCAGCCAATCCTAAAAGAGGAGCTCGGCAATTAGCAACGCGAACATCAAAAAGTTTTATTGCGGAGCGCCGGAGGCCCCGCCCCCGCAGCGCCGGATTGGCGGAAACGGCCTCTGACGACATATATTAACCCGAGCTGCCCTAAAGATGTAGCTGTACATGGAGTTCGGGCTGGGAAATTGTGCCAGTGCCCAGCGCAGCACCACGCCTGGGGGACTCGCCGCCGCCGCCTTCCTCATCTCCCTGCCCTGCCGCCGGGGCAGC